AAATTCATCTAACTGCTCGGCGTTGCTCCCCTAGTAGGCGCGAGCTTCCGTGACGTCACGCCGCGTCATATGACGAGAACCGTACTCGATGATGCTCGATGATCTCGCGCCGGAGGGTAACACGTAACGAGAGGAGACGAAAGAGGAAAGGAAGCGAGAGGGAAGAGGGAGGAGGGCATACAACGCGGGCGGTCCGTAGGGTCGTAATTTAGCGAATCGACCCGTCGGCGACGGGTGTTGGCGGGACACCCTATAAATCCCTCAAACGTCTGCTGGTGCCCTGGTGCACCCGAGCGACTTACGCCACCGTGACGGACGGATGACTGACGTTTCTTCTGTTTCGGAAGCGTCGCGCACATTATCGCGGCGTTAAGCAGCATCCACATCGAGAGTATCGAGACAAATTGCGCTGAGATTATCTCGGATACATATAGAGAGGAGGCTATTACACGTTGGAGCTCTGCGCGAGAACGAATTATTACAGCAATTCCGAGCAAATCAAATTTAAACGGCGTTCCGTACCATCCAGCTATATAATGCGTAACTCAATTTTACACGTATATTTCGTCCAGTAGATATACATAATCACAAAAATATCGTGACGTTATATATAGCAAATTTTCTCTGTATAACGGAAAACGAGTCACGATCTCGTCTGGATGGATACGATTCAATAAACGGGAGTTTACATCCCTTTGCGCTTCGGAAGAAGATAGTTGTTGGTCGATTTTCGATCGTTCATTGTGTACGCCTTTCAAGTGGAGTATCCCGCCAACACCGGGCGTTAATTATATGCGAAAGAAGCAGAGGTAAGGGATGAAAGAAGGAGAGATGACACATAAACTAGCGCAAGGTACGACCATCCGGAGTGCCGTATGCGGCCCTGGTATGCCAGCGTCCCTACGACGTAACATGATGTACAGATGACGGTAAATCAATACGCATCGTCGACTATCGACTGCAATGTTCGGGAGTAATAACGTAAGGCACGAGAAAAATAAGAATATTTGTCGGCAACGACGTCGCGAAGTCGGCGCGACGAAAACACGTGTCCCACGAAAACAGAATATATATGTATACGATGATAAATAAATTCTGAATATGTATCACGCAAGAGATATCTGATGCCATTCGAATTAAAATCAGCATAAGAACTGTTTTGCGTGATGAATTTTAGTAATATAAAAAAAAATACGACTTTTCTGCTCGCGATCGTTTGATATTAATTTGATTAACGCGTATCAACATTTGATTATTTTTTTCATTTTTAACTTTTGTATCTTAGCTGCGCGTGAAAGAATATCGATATTAAAATTAGATCGTTTCATTCGCAAACACATGACAGAAATTAAGGATTAGATATATAATAGATGTACAAATACAAAACACGCGCTTTGAGATTTTTTTTTAGTAATAAAATACATGTGTTCTGCTAAACTATAGTCTAGTCTTCTCAAATATGAATCGACTTTCTTCGCGCGCGCGAGATACGTGCGTCGAGTATTAATATTCAAGACGAGTTGCAACGAAGTCGATAATATGATATTTCGCGATCGGGACCCGTCAGACAAGGATCGTGCCAAGCATGCCTCGCGAGCTTCCGGGAGCAGGCTACCATCCGTATTTGGAAGTCCCGTGGGATACCTTGAAATTCCCATCAAATTCCCGCCGCGCGTGCATCAGGATTCCAGTGTCTAGGACGAAGTCGGGAACGCGCGGGGTGGCAGCGCGGCGAGAGGGGCATGATTGCACCGCGACCGTTTAAGTTCAATTTTAAACGAGTCAATAACATCAAAAGCTTCGACTATCCGGGTCGCATCCTCGCGTAGAGCTCTCAAACGTGCTCTACGTAACGTAGTATATACCGTTCATTGTGATCCGGACCCACCCCTAGACACGTTTTCGTCGAAGATGGGGCTCGAAGATGAATACCGAGTACGCGTTCTCAAAGCACCAGAGCAGCAGAAAGAAGACGAAATAGCGCAAACGTCATTTCTTTAGGGACGAAAATGGGTTAAGGATGTTAGATGATAATAACAACGAATCGTCACTTTCGTATCTTAATTCGATAGATGAGACTTTCGCGGTCGAATAATTAAGTTTTCTTTATATATATATAAGTGAGTAATTTCGCGTACCTATCTACACCTATGGCTTATTATTTCATCTCTTATAATTCGCGATATTGTTACCACCTTGTTCTGTTTATTCGCATTATTCACAATGCTTTAATAATTCACCTTAAAAGTATATCTTACACTTAATATCTAACAAAAAGAATAAAAGTAAAATAGGAAGAAATATAAGTAGGATCACAGACCGACGATACAGAATTGAGAAATATATATATAGATTTGCTGAATTTTATAAGAAGTTTATTTATAAAGTCACGGAAGATTATTCGTGCCGCAAAGTTTTCTTTATCGTAAACGGTACCACAATGTGGAGAAAATCAGATTGGATTTCTTTTTTGCACGCGGTACCACGCGTTTCCGACAGGTACGCTCAAGGTTCGCGGACACCAGGCTGCTACTCGTTCAAGAGAGCTTTCTTGTGGGCCGGGGAGATCCCCACTTAGATGTAAGTACCAAAGGTTCCCAGTGGGGATTAATCATGTGCTCGAGTGGGGGTGGTTTCGTCGTTTGGCCACCTCCACCGCGTCCCCGCAACAACCAGGATGACAGTCATAGGTGGAGGCTCGTTAAATCTAAACACTCGACATAATCAGTGTTATCGGAGCACGTCTCGAGTTTTTGTCCGGAGGTCCTGGCGAACGCGACGGAGGTCCGCGTTTGCGACAGCCAGTCGATGAACGCCCGTGACGATCGATCGAGCTCTCGCGACAGCAGTGAGAAACTCGTCGAAACTCCATTAAAAATTTACTTATTAGGGAACATATTCTCTTTTGATACGCGCTTGTTTTAAATTTTTAAATAAGAAAGCTGAAAACGTGATATTATTAATTTCGTTATTCAAGGAATCTTTTTGATTTTAATAGAGAAACAAAGTCACAATTATCGCAACTAGTAACAAGTTAAAAATCTTTCTACGTAACGTACAAAATAATATACGTATACGTATATATAATGTACATAATAAATATAATATATAATAAATAAAAAAGAAAACTTTTTATACTATTTATATAATTAAATGATTAAACAACGATAATTTAAGAAATAAAAAGTTTTTCTGATAAATGACAGAAAAAAAAATTTCTTCATTTCTCTCTAATTCTTTCTTTCTCTTTCTCTTTCTCTTTTATGACAATTTTATTTCACTTATATTCTCTTATATTTTTTTCATTTATAGCTTTATATATTTATAATCATAATTTTATTATGTACATATTCTCTTATTATAATATTTCACTTATATTCTTTTATATTTTTTTCATTTATAACTTTATATATTCATAATCATAATTTTATTATGTACTATAATTTCAATATATTTCGAGAATATAGCCTGTCATTTAGGGATTGTTAATTATATCCATTATTTCGAATATAACATAACGTTATAAAAGACGATATGTTGGCGATTAAAGTTCCGAGATTTTGCAGATCTTAAAGTAAAAATAAAGTCCAGAGATTTCCAAGATTTTACAATAATACGGTCTTTGCGGTTCGCTTATCAAGCTGCTATCTGTCTTATATGTATACAGATCACTCGTAAGTGAGAAACTAGTGAAAAGAGTAAACGTACGTGAGGTAATGCCGATTGCGTCGACGCCTGGCGTGTTTGTCGCAACAGGGATGTATGTCGAATCGAGGGTCGTCCGCCGAGGCATGCTCGATAGGGTGGCTCGCAATGACGTAACAAAGCGCGCGTTTTGCCAGGCGAGTATAACGCGACAGGAGGGTGAAACTTACCCCTACTGGTTCGGGCAGAGTTCAGTAATCTCGTAAAAATCGTTAACACAATTTCGACGTAGGCGCCGTCTCCATCCCTCCCTAATTATGATCAATTTTTGTCCAAGTGACAATTTCATATATAGGGTGCAATACTCGTTGCAATCGCGTATCCGTCAACGAGGGTTTTTGCGTGAATTGAAAAGGAAATTTGTAAACAAAATGGAAAATCGTATAAATATCGCCTTAACTAAAAGTATATAGACGTTTCTGTTTCGGACGCGAATATCAGTGAAACGCGATTGATTTTTCCGTACAAATTATACATTTATCCGCCTGTGTTTACCTTTGCTTCTTCAAACAGCTTTGATTTCATTTACGACAGTGGCGCGTCAAGGTTCGAGTATGAACGTTTATACACGATTACGTTTTGCACGGTCGCGCCGTCAGAGATATTCGAGATCAATATCGTTCTACATCGCGCGCACCTTCGTCACCGCCGCCGGTAGCATTTTCGCTTACATGACACGGGTGTGCTATACGGGGGAACTGACCTCGACGAAGCTTAACCTTTGCGACGTCACGCGGCCTGACATTTGTATCCGGCAATTATGTGATTCTAGTTAGATAACGGCTTCCACCCCTTTCGACGCCAAGCGTCGCCCCCGACGGGGGATGAAAACGTCGGAAGGCTTTCGGATTCGCGTCACCTATGCGGAACAGGAGTTCATATGTGTTCGTAGAGCCATTAAATGCGCACGGCCTTTGTGTAAAATCATCGACTTTGTTCACTTCTAGTGGAAAAAAAGCTCGTTGGAGTATATTAAAGAATTATTTCATAAAAGCGCCGTTTATTTTTTTATAGTATCCCGAAAGGAACAAACAACCGATGGCTCGTTTTTTTACGTATAAAATATAATTATAAGATTATATTATATCAAATTCATAATAAACAAATATTAAGAGTCATATCGTTGATTCATGAAATATAAATATTTTAAATAATATTTTCGGTAGGCATGTATTCGTTTGCATCTTAAAAAATTTATAAACTATACATGTATAAATACGAAATAACGTGCTAAACAAACATTTCTCTGTAAATTAAAACGAAATATTATATTAATTAAATTATATAAAACTCACCAGGTGGAAATCTTTGGCCGATTACAGTCTCCATCCATTGCTGAGCTTCAGCTTCCTGGCTTGCTTCGCGCTTGCCAGCAACCTGCGATTAGAAAGAAATTTATGATTAAAAAACAAAAAGCTACAAATCCGTTGGAAAAATATTCAACGTTTTATAATTTTTATTTTTTAATATCGATTTGCAGATAATGATATTATTATAATATTTCTTCTAATAATCTAAAAATGGAAATAAAGTCATTATAAAATAATAAAATCCATATTTAGCTAACAATAATTGTGAAAAAAATAGTTACAATTTAATAATAATTATTAATTTACTATTAATTATTCACAATATTAATTTATATTATTATATTACAATTGCGATGTTATTGTACTTTTATAACACAAATGCATTTAATAAAAGATATTATGTCAAAATATAAGATAACGAAGGAATTGTACTTTTAATTGTACTTTTCTCTGTATAATAAATATAGTTAATATAATAAAAAATATTAGTATTAAAATAAAATAATAAAGAAAATTATTTTATTTTTATTAATAAAGAATTTTTAGTTTCAGATTATTATTATATCAATATATATATTAATTCTATTTTATCTTATTCTGTTGAATGGCAAAGACTTTTCTATATGTAAATATAAAATAACTGAGAGGAACAGATAAGAGATTGAACATGTAAAAATACCATAGAAGAGGTTAGAATATAGTACGGAGTTAGGATGCATAAGGAAAATATGTGTCTTCTCTGACTTCTCTCTAAAGTTCTTAATAGATAGAAAGACATCTTTTTCCATCTATTGAGGAAAAATCATAGAGATGAAATACCTGTTTCGAGATTTCTCATGTTTGAATTCGATCATCAGTTTCCGCAGAAACTTTCAAAAATTGCCGTAGCCGATGGTATTTCACATCGTCATGGCGGGGTATTGGTAAAAGTTTTCAACTAGCAATAATCGCACCTCAGTAGAACTTCATTGGTTACGATATCGCCACTGCGCAAAGCTGACGAGCCAGTCTTCTGGCCGCCTATTTATTGTATACGTGAAGTGAATTTAACTACGAGAAAGTCATGTTCGTGTGCTCCACGTAGCGTCCGTTTGCCGAACTAAAGAGGCCGGTCGCCGTAGTGACACGCACGTCATGACCGGTCGCGCCGCGGGACGGGGCTCACTGGATTCGCCCGTCCATTCCACACGAATAAAATTTACCATTGACCATTGTTTACGGATAATTTAAACGTCTGGCTAGCCGGGTATTTGCAAGAAAATATATCCGAACAGGATCGCATGACGGCAGGAGGTTGCGCGTTCTCGGAGCACGCGCGCGTGCTCCGAGTGCTTCGACGGCGCCGTCGCGCGAAGCCGCGTGGCTTTCGATATCGTTGTCTTTCATTATGCCTGTAATCTCTTTCTCTCTCTTTCTCTCCTCAGCATCACGTTATCGTAATATAATTTTTCAGATGTCCTATGTCTTATGCAGATTTGTTTAATATTTTATAAGGATAAATAAAAATAATAAAAATTCTCGGAGTAACAACGCTGATAAAATTATGCTCTTTTAAATCCTTCATTATACTTATTTATAATTATAATAACGTTACCGATTATAAAATATTGTTGATTATTGTACCTAATATATAATTAATATTTTAGCGATAACTACTACTTGCTTTTTCGAGCAAGCGCAAACTCCAATACCCAGGTAAAATATAAAAACAAATGATGTCCTAATGTTCATTTTTCATTATTTGTGACTTATAACTTATAAGTGACAAATGATATCAATGATGTGTTTATGATATCATATAACTTCTCACTTCATAATGTTATTATCATGACTTTTGTGTTCTATCTGAATATATCTTACAAAGCAAAATGTCGAAACATAAACTCTAAACATAATACATGCTACTTAATCAATAATCATAGATTTGACGATAATTCATAAAAAAAATTAATCTACTTCGTTCTATAGTTTCTTTTCATTATTTTGTACATTTTTTATCGTGTCAATGTCCATCAAAGATTTCTCTCTGCCCAACGAAAACGGATCATTTGTTTTGAGGGAATTATCGACGACGTGTGCCATTTGTTATCGCATTTCATTATACAACATTTCACACGGACGGACACGTCAGTAAATCGCTCCAGACGTCTCTACGCAGATCTGTTGCGTTACGATAATTTTGGAAACAGCAACGATTGACGAAATCTAAACTCGGCGGTGGCATCACCCTTCAAAGTGGCCGTAGTCCAGAAATTACGACGTTCACGTATCGGCGAATTCATCTGGCAAATGTCCACGTATATGTTAAACGTAAACGCGGCAAATTGCACCCACTTGTTCGAATTTTTCCCCGCTTCGCGGAAATATTTTATATAATGACGAACTCGTCAGAAGTCGCAGACAATATTTCGTAATGCGCAGCTCCGAATTTAAGCTTCTCGTTATATCTCGCTGTTTGTCCATCTATTTAAAAAATTAAATAAATGTCCTTTTTTTTATTTCAACATTAAATGGTGAAACTGATGTCCGATGAAAAAAAGATGAATCTATTTCTATTAAGCGCAAGAATAAGTCTTACGGCTAAATGCAACCTAGATCACGATAATACGAGCCGCACGAATTAATTTACGAATCGTTGAACTGGCTCTTTGTGCGCTTTATAAACTATTTGTCAATTAAGTCGCGAACGCGAAAGTCGAATGTGTATTTAAGATTAGGCATTCATAGAACACGCCGTGTAATGTACACTAAAAATAGAGAGCGACATCAGATGCCACGCAGCTGTCAGTTATAAGAAAACTTTCTCATTAATCTGTTAAATCATAAAATTCTGCTAAAATTAGCTTAAATGGGAAAGAAGAACACACCTGTGCACACATATTATTCTCTTAATTAATTTTATACGTAAACTCATATTCAAAATACATCTTTGTACAATTAAATAATTAATGTTTGTATAATAACGTTCATGTTTCTAACAAATCTCACGTGTGAGATTTACATCGTCTAGAAAATGTATAAAATCATTTATTCGCGGGCTTTAATCGTTCCTTCTCGCGTTCTCACTGGAATTTATGTTTGTCATTATTTTGTTTTTCGTCGCGCTTTTAGTGCCTGTTGTAAAATACACACGTCTGTGATGCCAAGACGACTTTACCGCGGATCGCGTCTAAACGCGAATCGTAATTTAATTTAGGGTCACGCCGCGTCCTGTAAATAGGGCCGCGGTGTCAAGATCTGGTTACGAGCGGGGGTGTGGGAATACCCACCCGAGAAAACTGGGCAACAAGCCAAAAGCACTTAAGTACCGGCGGAGGGGATGATGCCATATAGCGTCGCGACGCGCGGCGTCCGATTTTAGTTTCTACTCGACATCATCGAAGTTTCAAAGTCACGCGCAATCCGTCATCCGTCGAAAAAGTCACCGTCTCTCGCCGGGGAAATAACGCAGCAACAAAATGCCGGTATGTTCCCTTCAGGGCAAGCGAGACGCTGCCACTTTTTGCGCTCCGGTGACGATTAATCGCGATACGATTCCGGCGCGATGTTTCTAGTGAAAAACTCACGTTTTGTATATATACATTTATATATAAATTTTCTTATACAAGTAAAATACATAGTAACGTATATAGTGTATGACTTGACACACGAAACGTGAAAATTACGATGTCCTCTTATATGTTTAACACGGAAATGTGTTAACGTAACAATCTACAGAGATCAGGGATAAACAGTCGACAGATCCGTCAGATATATCTCGTAATGGACACGGATTATAAGGATACAATTTTTATTGTTTTAATTATAGCAGTCCGATACTATCGATCATTCGAAAGCTTTTAACGTATGACTCCTATACAGTATTTATAGCTGCGATTCAATCCATCACTCTGATACATCGTTTTACGTCAGTGCTCTTCTCTGATGTATGTCTTTCCCCTCTACACACATCCGGTGTATTTATATCCTAACATAAATAACGTTATGCAACGCACACTCTTCGACGTTATCCTGAGAAGTTGTGGGACCAAAACAGATGTAGAGAATATCGGCGGGCAGTTTAACGATGAGTTTCAGTAAATTTGGGTGTGGCCTCGGGGTTTGCTACAACGAAACTTAATAATTATCTCTGCCTCTTTCTCTTACGTCGAAAAGAAATACCTTGCAATATCGTTTGATCCTTTCAAATTATTAATTATCCTCAAAAATTAAGTCATTTTTAAAAAATTAATATTATTCTGTTAATACATCAGATATGTATAACTAACTTTCATCCGAAATATCAAAAAGTGCTGCGTTACACGCATAATAATTCGAAAATTTATTAAAACATTCGTATTTAGAAATTCACATAATTTTTCCTTTTCTTTTTCAGTATTAAATCGTTATCACTTTCGTTAGTTAAAATTGTCATCGTTTTTTATCGCTACGGAATTAATTGTTACGCTCTTATTTCATACCGCGATTTATTAAATAAGTGGCTGTGGATTTATGGAATCCCGCGTGCACGGAATTCCTTCGTGGAATTCCCGCGTCCGCTATACGCTCGATTGTAGCATCAATCCAATTCATGCGCGGCGCGGCGACACGCGTCGCGATGCGTCTCCGTGCACAGGTGCGCGGTTCAATCTGTTGCCAGCCAATTCGGCTGGAGACGCGAATCATAAACGCGGACCCATCCAAATTAACTTTAAATTTAGTGAGCGGCGGCGCGCGGCGTCGTGTTGCGCGTCACGTTCGCGAAAACGTCCTCGGAAACGGCGGGGTTGCGCGCACGCCCGCACGAACGGAAGCCGCTCCCCTTGAAAATGGAATCTTAAAATATCCATCCCGAGTGGATGCGACGGGGGGAGAACACGTTGCCTCGGCCGATCTGACACTTCACAGATAAGAAGTTCGGAAATTCTGAGTCGAGACGCAGCTTCGCGGCGTAGCGAATTTCGAAGTTATAACTGTCGATCTTACCGCCGATATATAAGCGCAGCGAAACTTCACTTTTCAGACCACTCTGAATATGAATATCGTCTCGTATTTATACTCTGTTGATGCAATCCTTAAAAAAGAAAGGAAAAACACGTTTTCGTAGCTCGGCGTTTGACGTTTGCAGTCACGATTTCATAAATTCAAGTTTAGCCCTGTCACTGTCCGCGATATTATTACTTTGCTACCATTCCTAACGAATGTAATTATCATACGAAAAATAAAAATAGAAATTCCTTACGAATGTCCGTTATATTACATGAAAAATAATTACACTAAACACGTGTCTACCGCACAATCGTGAGCGAATCGTAATGCGATTCATGCGCTCAATTAGAACCAATTAAAGTCGCCTTTATTATTCGTAGCGATGCGTCTTGGCTTGAATTTACGTGCCGAGATATATAGACATACTTGCGCAGCTGCACTGCTCCCACAGCCCCGATGTTATTACAAAATTGCACGCAAGTTCATTGTATATCGACGGTATATCCAAACATCACTTCCCAAAATATCGTACGGTCGAGCGAATCGCGAAACAATCGCGACGGTGTTTATCGCGCAGTCGGCTTTGAATCCGCGGCTTTTCAGGGTTGCCGCTTAATTTTGCTATAAATACTGATTTATAGCTTCGACCGAGGGATGCCAGATTCCGTTTGCGTCAGGCAGCTGTTCGGATCGTAAATCGTTCCGTGCGAACGTTAAGAAATTCGGAACGTGCGAAAAGCCGTTAAGATGTCCGCGTTATATCCGTTTCTCATGAAATATCTGCCGTGAAATTGCTGTCAAATTTATGCATCTGATTAAAGCGCAACTAATTACGGACTTATATAAATAGTTATGTGTCACTATTATTTTTTTCGCAAAAATTAATGTACGCAAGATAATAACACATATATAATAATACATTTTTTTACAACATAAAGATTTTCAATGGCTTCTATCAACCCATTGAGAAGATTCTCCTTGTATATATATATACAAGATTGCAATTTATTATAAACTTAAATTCACGCGGACTCGCATGACACAGACGTTCGATAGTTTAACACCGCTTTGCCAGTTTTCATAAAAGCCAAGACATCAGTCGCCATATTTTATTTTCAATGTTGGACTTTACGCGAGTAATCCTACACCGCTACTCACCGCGGTCTATTTTTGATACAGCCATTTTTAAGACATCCAGAAAACGCTTACGATGTTGCACGCGGTCCGCGTGGGAAACCGAATGTATTCTATATATAACAGTAAATTTTAGACAGTCATGGAATAAAGACGATGTCAAAAATAATCTCGCGTTGCGACGCGCGTCTGATGCGTGAAAAAGTTAATTTATCACATTGTATATATATCTTTTCAGAGTCGTAATAAGGAACAAGAAGCCGAGGTCCTTTCCTGGATTGAAGCTGTGGTAGGCGAGAAGCTCCCGCCAGGAAACTACGAGGACATTTTGAGAGACGGTGTGATCCTCTGCAATTTAATCAACAAGCTTGCGCCCGGATCGGTCAAAAAGATTCAAGCTAAGGGCACCAATTTCCAACTTATGGAGAATATTCAAAGGTGACCGAAGGCGAATTATCTTTTTTCATAACGAAAGTCGCATAACGATTTTTATATAACTTTGTGTATATCGCACTGTCAATAGATTCCAAGCGGCAATCAAAAACTATGGTGTCCCGCAAGAAGAAATTTTCCAAACCGCGGATCTCTTCGAGAGGCGTAACATCCCTCAAGTCACCCTCTGCCTGTATGCCCTAGCCAGACTCGTGAGTAATTTGTAATAATAATTCGATTGATTAATTATTAAGATTATAATTACAAGATATATATCTATTATCCCAAATATATCTTTTATGTGACAAAAAAAGATAAAGAAACTTTTTCGATAGAACAGTGTCTTATACTTAAATTTTTTAGAAAACAATAAAAATTTTTATATAACAAAGAAAAAAAATTGAAACACTTCGTTCGACAGATGGAAAATCAGCACAGGCATAATTTGCCACAGTTCATTTACAGCTTTGACTGTTAATTTGTAAAATTAATCTATTTCTGAAATTTAATTGAGATAAATGTTTTTGTAACAGACGCAGAAACATAATTGGACCGGGCCAAGTTTAGGCCCGAAGATGGCGGATGAGAACAAGAGAGACTTCACCGAGGATCAGCTTCGTGCTAGCGAGGGTCACCTGGGTCTTCAGATGGGGTACAATAAGGGTGCCAGCCAAGCTGGTCACGGTGGCTTCGGAAATACTCGACATATGTAAATTTTTTTCATAGAAACAAATTAACACACGTCTGTATCATATACGTCTACAGTGACTAATTAGAACATCAAACACAGAGTATGATACAATAAAAACATTGAAATAAGTCGCATTTTTTAACCGCGCGTATTAAATGTGTGTGTGAGAGAGAATAAAAATATTGCGCTTTTGAAGAATATTTTTCAAATTCATAAGTTTCGAAAAAAATCGTAAATAACATCAATCTGTTTTTATATCATCGATTATATTGGCATTAATGAAACCGAATAAGTTGACTTCTCTCTGTTATAAGAGTAATTTTTTCTTCCACTTTTTGTCATGAATATGCATCTCTGCAGTATTTATTATATTTATTAATTTCAATTATTGCTTTTTTTAATCGACTTTAGATATTGATGTGTTTAACAGTTAATTTATTATTTTATTCTTTTTTTCTATATCAAATATCAATAATGTAGCAATATCAATTAACCTTCTATCTAGTCACGGGAAAATATATTTTTTATATGAATTCGTAAGTACAGTTGTAGTTTGCATGTAAGTGTAAGTACTCTACTTGCGTCATTTATGATACCGTAAAGACGCGCTTCATATTTTATGAAAATTCATACTTTCTTTTACATATACACGCACAATGTATTATCACCTACACGAACAACTTTTATGCACAATTACACGCGATTTTTATATATGTTAAACACACAGTACTAAACAAGTATTAAACAATACATGAGTAATTATAAATATGTATATAAGAATACGTATATGTATTCGTTGCAGATCAAAGTAAAATACTACATTAATATTACAAAATGTATTAAAGAAAATATGAATATACTAAAAATGTAAAGTAAAGACTATAACATACAATATCATTCATACGTTTGTATAGATGCAATTAAACACATACATGTACAAGCAAACTACATGACACATAATAAAACATAAAAAAACATGACGCAACATTATATTACACGTATTACTATAATAGACAAAAGATTCAATCAATTCAACCAATAAAAATCCAATGTTACAATAAAAATCCAATTAATATTTATAAATTTAGAATATTAGGGTTTAGAAATAGTTTTTAAGTTTTACAATTCGACAACCAGCTTTACCTCTATAATTTTTTGCGATTTCAAATTATATCATAAATCTGCATCTGTCTTATAAATTAAACTTTATAAATCTCTACTTTTATAATTTGATAATTAATTAATTAAATTAGTAAGACTCTACAAATTTATATTATTGTTCAAACTATATATGTGTATGCAATATATCAATAAATGAATCAATATATATCTTTCAGAAAATTATATATTTTCGGTAATTTTCGTCCTTATCATTCTCTTTAAATTCGTGCACTCTACTCTGTATGAATGAAATTTATCGCTGTTTTGAAATACATTATGGAAACGTGCACGTTATAAATAAGTTTTTGAAATTTATGCTAATGGAACGAGCGATTAAAGCAAATAAATGTAACGAGGAAACTGTCTTAGAAATACCGACGTTGCAGCATTTGGGACTAAGCCAATCTCATGTAATATTCATGACAATCCTTTTGCTGCTCATACGCTAGTAATTCTACGGTAATAAAGTTAATCGTGAAACAATTCAGACGTCGCTGAAGAGAGTTGCAATTATTAACGTAAATGTGTAATAGTTTACAAATAAAAAATATTAGCTACAATACAAAAGAATTTGGAATTTTTTGTAATAAAAACCGATGCGACGCATGTTTTTATTTTACGACAAAAATGTCAATTATCAGAGAAAAATACAGGTGGATATAGCACATATCGAGCAAACCGAGCGAATGAAGGATTTCCTTGCGTTACGGCTTCGGCCTATCTCACATCATCGTGCCTATCTCACATCAAACCGTCGTGCTTATCTTTGCACCCACGCGGGTATAAAAATATCCGCCACTGTTTGTAAATAAATCGGGAACACGCGACCACGTCATCCGCGACACGCTTTTCTGAATTTTTCGTTGAAATTAGCTAATGAGTCCGCGCACCAACGCGCGTGTTTTTGGTACGGTAAAATTTAATTCCTATAACTTTTGCTTGCCTTGGCAAATTCGAATGCCTTTCGGTTTATTTCTGGATCGTCGTGGCACACACGGAGACCGTTGCTGGACCCGGGTCACGGAATATCGCTTTATTCCGCAATGGAGTCGACCTATCGCGAGAGGAAAATCCCTTACGTGTCTCCGATCTTTGTTACACCAATTGCTAGTATTTTGAAAGAATTCTTGCCAATATTATACATAATTTTTATTATTAATGCTGTGTTACTTCATTATTAATATAATTACCGACCTATTAACGCGATTTGCATAAACAGTGTTGCATAAAGATTTGCTTACTCTGAAATTTGATATCAGAAAACGACTATTCGCGCATATTTCAATTTCCTCGTTCGACAGTACATTCGAAAATTATTTGCTTGCTTAAGGGAGGCAACATGAACGGCGATAAATTTCGGTTGATGATTCATAAAAGCGTTTCCTGAATTAGGAGCGGCTTAATACACGGATCGACGAAAGTTCCGCGGATTGACGTAATGTGAGTCAGAGCTTCAAAATAGAAAAGTCATCGCTGCTTCAAACTTGTTAAAAATATGTAAGAGCAGTATATCAAGAGAAAGAGAGAGAGAAAGAGAGAGAGAGAGAGAAGAATCTTATTCATGCGATTTTATGAAATTGCATCGCGATAAATTTAAACGAAATTAATTATATTAATTAATTTTAACGCACGTTTTTAAGCTTGATACGCACAGTTTATACTTCAAAAGTTAAAGAGAAATATTTCTTTCCAAATTTTTCAAATATTTTTTCGTATTTTTCTCATAAGTTTAATTTTATTTATACTCGTGCTATTCTTTTATACAGAAATCCTTTGTTGTCATTTACGTTATTACGCCAAGTACTTCATACTCACGCTTTCAAGAATTAAAACGCAACGTATAAATTCATATAAAAGCAACGTATAAATTCATAATATAATAACTCAATGTGATATATTAATCTAATAAATTTTACGTAAATCATCAATTTTGAGTAATATATCATAATTAAATATATACAGATATATAACATAATACTTTTGTAACATTAATTTAATTTTATTTAAATGCAAAACATTTTAATTCATAGATACGGCTGACTTTGATTTAAAGAGCAACTAGTATTTTAATTAAATAAAAAAAACTTTCAACGTTTTAATCCTTAAGCGGAGTTGCCTTCAATTTAAAGAACAATTACACATCGTTATAGAATACAACAATTGCAAAATGCGTCTCCAGTGAAATGTAATAAAATAATAATCGCCAAGTCGAAACCGGAGTCTCGAAAATGGAACGCAATTATAGAGAAAAGGGAGTGACGCGGCGATATGCCCCGTTTATCGCGGTTCCGATTTCAAGAAACGGCGCGTCGCTTACCTGCCAGAGTGGGCGTCCAGGCATGGCGGATCCGCGTAATTCAGGGGCCTCCTCACCGGAAAATTATTTTCCGCACGACGTGTGCGCAGAGGGTCTCTCTCCACCGCGGCTCTCAAGCTCAAGCACAAAAAGTGCGCTCCACCGCGGCCGCGCTGCGTATATATGCGTGACAGGTGCGCGTACGTGTTGGTGGAACGTGGGGGCGCGTCTATATATGGATCACTTACTCACCACTTTACTCCAGACACGAGCGCGAAACCGTCGGGGATGTCGCGAGGGCGGACGAGGGGGGGGGGGGGGGAGTATCGCGGACGGCGTGACGTCGACCGATCGACGACGATGATTGGAATCATGTCAACGTCTCAATTCCTCGCGATTTAAAATTCTTATTTCGAACCGGCGAAGCTATGTACGATCTTATCAAATTCGGATTTCGATGCCGCGAACGAAAGAGTCCTCGATCTCGTCTCGGTTGGCATCCTCCCGCATTTCAAAATACTTTCTCGTCTTCGTCAACAAACATTATTTACCTTCTTACTCATTCGTCCGTTCCCTGTCCCTTTGTACCGTCCCCCGCCGAGCAAAGAGAATCCGATGTTTCATCCGCGAAAGTTGCGTACGTCTTATACGGATCCAAAAATTAGAAGAAAGAAGGGATCGCTTTCCCGACGCGCCGAAACGGTGCGTCATGCTTTATTTCTCCAGAGATACAAGATTCCCTCTATCGTCGTTCCCCCCTTCGCGCTTGCCGCGCCACTCGGCAACGATCGCGTCGAACGAGATCAAGGACGATCAAGCGCGCCCCGATTTCCCCGGGAGTGTATCGCCCGAGAACAGCCGAAAAACAGATCGGTCTCCCGTCGACGGTAGCGTGGCCGAGCGGTCTAAGGCGCTGGTTTAAGGCACCAGTCTCCTCGGAGGCGTGGGTTCGAATCCCACCGCTGCCATTTTTTTTTCCTCCCCCGCTCGCCCGCCGGGACGACACGCCGCGCCGTGGCCGCGGTCTCGCGCGCGCGGCGACCGCGCGTCGTACGATTAACGAGACGCAATGGTAGCGTCTCCTTCGAAGGTCCAATGGGTTGCGTCGGCACGCGGCGCCGTGGTTCACACCTATCAGGCGTACATGCGCGACGAGTAGGCTGAACTGTTCGCCGGAGGCTTCGGACTACCTCGGGCAGGCTCGCGCTCCGTGCGCGCGACATCTGTGGAAGGGACCGGTTACCTCAACGAGCCCGACTCGACCGAGCGAGCTCCGCAGCGAGCAGAGAGCTGCAGCTTGTGGTCACTTAGTGGCAGTTGTGGCTAAAGAAGAGCGAGTCAATCTTCGCGTAAACATTACCGGTCCGGCGCATAACCTCTTTATATTTATAGCGCCGAGACGCCGTGTCTCGTGATGCTGATAAACAAAATTAAGTAGGCGCATAAACTGGATTTTTCTTTCTGAAGACGACAAATTTTCCTATTAAGCTTCTCCTGCGTGCATTTCGAAAGTACAGGATTCTCGGTAAGAAGTTATGCGTCACTCGCAAAGGGAGAATAAGTATAATTATATGTTGAAATAACAGGCACACGTTCTCGTGCGGCCGAGATAATGAACGCGGATTTATATACATATAAGTGTAAATTTCGATTAGAAGCTTCAACTCTGCTTCATCTCTTTCATTAGGTACAATAGCACTGCTCGTTTTTCGCGTGTAACAATTGTAACGCGATATACAGGGATAGTCGCTTTTGCGAGGAGAACAAGACGGAAATCCAAAGCGCCGAGATACGCACGGAGCAAAGGAACGTATACATGCTCCTTACGGAAGCTCGCTCGCGCGGAGTCCCCCATGGCTCTTGCGAGCAGATGGGATCCTGTTGATGTTGTTGTCGTCGGGGGCTCGCCATTCCTGCCCGTTTCGGCTAAAAGGGATCGTTATTGAACGCGCTTATGAAACGGAACGTGCTTATGAAGGGGGAGAATGGGACGCGCGCCGCCGATATACGTATAGTAATAGCAATAATAATAATCGGCGTCGCGGGAAAAAAAAGGAGAACGGAAGTGTGCTCCGAGGCCACGTGGTATCCTGATACAGGTTTCATTCAAAAGATGCTACCACGGACCACGCCCAATTAACGCGCTTCTTGTAGCTCGACAGAGAGAGAGAGAGACTGTCGGAGATGCGTCGTAAATGGACTTTAAACATTTCATTTATGTAAGTGCATTATCGTCATTATTATTATTGTATTGTAACTAACAATTATTATGCGCGTGTAAGTGTATTGCGTGAAATATTACTGACACAAACTAAGAGAGAATTATACACAAAACAGTTTATACGTATGTACATTACATAGGTATATGTACGTATAACTTTAACGCATGAAATTGCACACACATGTCAGGGTATATTTGGCGCGCATGCTCCCGTCTAAATATTCGCACATCATGATTGTTGGTTACTCGAAATTACTTTTATTATTATTATAATATTGTAATATACTTATTTATTCATATTATTAATTATTATTGTTATTCGTCCAGTATTGATATGTTAAGCTAAGAAATCGTGAAAGGCATGCTTATCCAAGTCGTGGTAGCTGCAGCCGAGAATTTAATTCCGTCGACGCGGGATAGAGAAAGGTCCCTGTCTGTACGTCTCCGCGTCAGACACTACACGTACGCGAGCGCGACGGGAGATGAATTATTGTTCCCCCTCGACGTGGTTCGCCGACGTAGGTAGGATACACGGTGGGAAGAAGCGCGTTGTCTCGGGGGTGACGCGGATCCCCGCGCGTCGCGTACACATCTCTACGCGCCTATGTGTTTTTTGACCGCAATGAAGCGCGGTGCGTGCTCACATCCCGCACGTAGGCCGTGCGTTATCAGGGCAGCATGAACGACGGCCTTTCTCCTCTCTCGTACAGTTGAGCGTCATTCGCGCGGGTTGTCTCATTTGGCCCCTCCTCGTACCAGAGCAGCACGTGGAGCGAGAAAGTCGTACGGTTGCGCGGCGCGTTCTTGTATTACCTATGGTACCCACTTTCGTCCGAAATCGTTTCCGCTCGGCGGGCATTTCGTGTAGTCGCGAACGACTATGTGACAATGGATTTTCAATTGACATACACATATTTTATATATATATATATATATGATTGTCGATTGATTATTATAACACTTAATTTAGCATTTCATTTGCCATCTTCAATAATGTTAGACTATTCTTTTTCTGTTAAACATAACGAGACAAATTCTCGAGAGAGAGAGAGAATTTAAGATTTTATTTCAGGATAAGTTTCATTTTAGAGAGTCTTGAAATTAAAAAGAATTATTAGTATTTATGAAATATATATTAGTAGAATATAAAGATATAAAAGGTGTGTGTGTGTGCACATATAACAGAGTATCAATTTGATTACTGTGTAATATATTTCGTTGTAATCTCGACAGGTCGAACGAGATTCTCAGGAAAAAATTCTGAATACGAATGTCCTTTGTATTCGCTATATCTCCCTGCATAATCTATCCGGTCGTACCCGTCGCTGCTTATCTTGCGTAACGCGTCGCCACGCGCCGCGTCATAATGTCAAAACGACAAGAGCCACTCCCCTCGAAGCGGCAGCAAAGGCCAAAGCCTAACCGGCATCCGTTCGAGTATCCGATACGCACACGGTCGCGAGGCCGTCGGGCACCGTCCCGGGTTACCCCCGCTCGTCGTCCTCCACACGCTAATTTACACGCGGCCCACGAGGGTAATCTGCAGTCAACGGGCAGAATGGACATAATCAACAATTTAACCGAGCGGCGAGCAGGGACACAGGAACGCCGAGTAGGAGCATCGCCGTGGCCGCGGCGGCGGCCGCGCCGCGCTCGCGCTTCCTGGCCGCTCCTGTTCGCCGTGGATCGGAAAGACACAATTTTGAGGAAGAGCGCGCGGGCCTCTAAGCATCGTCACGGCGCAGCCATACCCCATTGGTCCACGGCGATCTCTTTCCACCGCTTATTGGTTCATTGACTCCGGCTTGGACGGAAATTTCGGCAGGGCTACCGGGCCCGGCGAGCCGCCGGCACGGCGCGGATCCCGCCGGGCCGCGCCCGCCCGCGCCGGAGATCCGCGCGCCGGCGACGCGCAGCTGCAACCGACGCGCGGCCGTCCCGTGCACGCCTCGCGGGAGTCGACGGAACGTCGTCCGCGGGGACAGTGACACCGTTTTTCCCCAAAATCGGCATTAATAACGCGCGATTCCCCGCTGCCACCGCCGCCGCCGCCACCGCCGCCGCCACCGCCGCCGCCGCCGCCGTCGTCTCGTCGTCGCCACTGTTGCCGACTAGGACGACGTATACGCGAATGCCGACTTTGACTCCAGCGGATTTCCACGGTGCTGCTCGGACCTCGTGTCTACATCGAACTGTGCGATACGCGCGTCGCGTACCCTCGCGCCGCGGGAATCCGCGCCCAAACGGATCGAACGTTATTACGTTTTCCCCTAAAATTAAAGTCGCTATACGGCGCAGGGAGTGGGGAGTACTACCTGCAACGTGTGTACGTATACATATATACAGGGTGACTCACGCGACACATTGGAGTAGGCGATGACGTCTCGCTGACATTCGCGAGTGGCAGAAAACTGAAATTGCACGAATAAGATAAATTGAACGTATATCAATTCTCATACTTAACACGATAAAAATCATATACGTGAATACTTCGAAAGTTTCGTGTAAAGTTCTAATGTATTAAAATTCTTGACAATGCGCTTAAGTGAATTAAAGAGTTTTACATACGTTTTACCGAGATTCGCTTATCACGATTCCAGTTTTTGATGGACAATAATTATTACGTGAACAACAGTTATTCATGTAATGCGCGTCTCGTATTCTCAGTTCATTTCCTATCACAAAAATTATTTTATTATACATAATATTCTATCTATAATCTTCCTCTACGATAACGTGTGTTATTTATCGAAATTTAAATAAAAAACGCATTAACTTATAAAAAGCCATTACAATCTACAATATAATGTATGTAATCTATCATATACTGTACATCACATGTACAAGTGATTACGCACAATTATACAATTCTATATATTCACGTATACAGATACATTGGTACGAAATCAGCTGTGCCAACTTATTTCACGCGCTCTTCTAACGTCCTTTGATTCTCCGAGCGTAGTCAATTGTCCTCGCGCACGACTCCGCGATACACCCAGTACATAATCTCGTGCGTGCACACGTATGTATGTATACATTCGTACGTAGGCCGGCGTTGTTGACACCAGCGCTTCTATCGGCGGCGTCGCGAGATTACGGGCGGCCGCATGCGTTCCTGTTGAAAAAATTCCTCACGGGCGAAAGTCAAGGTATGACGGAACGGATCGTCGGCGTGTGCCGGCGCGGCCGAGCCGAGGCAGCCGCGGGAGAGTCGCCTCCTCGCGCCACGTACTTTCCTGGCAGCAGGAGGGGCTCGGCGAGACAACCCGCGCGAAACTCTGTTCAACGTAGGGAGAGCGGTCCGCGCCGTACGAGCTCCTGCCGCCGCGTGCCGTCCGGATAACGCGGTGCTCGCATGCGGGATGTGAGCACGCACCACGTGCTCGTCACCGGGCTGCGGCCAGGCCGGGCGCGCGCTTGGGCTTGGGGTGACGACGATCTGGCCGCGCGCCGCCGATTCCTCGCATCGCGCCCGATCGCGCCTCTCCTCTCCTCTCCTCGCCTCGCCTCGCCTCGCCTCGTCGCGCTGCGCTGCCTGCGCTGCGACCAGCGTTCGACTTCTCGCCTCGCGGTGTACGTACATACATTACATACATAGGTACGCTCCCCCACGTTCCCCGCGAAATGACACACAGACGGACAGACCACACAGTAGCGGTAGTAGCGCACGTATCGATCATATGGTCGAACTCGGGCTAACGTCAAACGAGTCCAGCCGTGACACCCCGCAATCCTGAGTCGTTTCGCACGCGGATCACGCCGCGTGTAATCTCTCGAGTCCGAGGATCAAATGCGAAATGTGAATGTAGCTTGTAAAATACGTTCTTGTGCGTGTCGACGCAAATAGAGAAGCTTAGGAGTGTCACTTATTCTTTATTTTATTTTATTTTTTTGACAATATAACCGTCTTATCGAAGCAAGATAAAATAAATTAAATCATTAAAATGGGGTAATAAAGAAATTGCTTTGGATAAAATTTTAATTCCCGATGGAATCTGCACGATTCTCGAATGTGAGAATATAATATTTGATCACTCGCGTTGTCCACTTGAAAACTTTAATACTCCAGAATTTTACAAGAGCCATATTTATTGTCGTCCGATATTAAAGTATATGTACGTGACATATAAGAAATGGGATCATCCGTAACATCTGATCTATCGGTAGATACGAATGTATTTCTTACTCAGAAGCGAACCATTCGCCAAGACTCCGTGGCGCAACGGTAGCGCGTCTGACTCCAGATCAGAAGGTTGCGTGTTCAAATCACGTCGGGGTCAAACTTTAATTTTTTATTTTTGTCAGCGCTTTCGAGAAGTTTTCACACAATCGCCATTTTTGTTGCCAATTGTTGCAATCACGCCGTTCGATGACGCAGAGCGCATCCTCACGCCCGTCATTACATATTCTGAATTTGATAACGTTATTACATTTTTTTCGATCTGAAAATACGATTAATGTCGAGTCAATTATTTTATACGATATATTACAAACCCACATACATATATACATATGATAATAGTGAAAATAACTGGCAATACGTGTGATGAAGTATCGTGCTACAAGGTGCCTGAATTCGAGCAGGTAGCTACACGTAGCAGTCGTGGCCGAGTGGTTAAGGCGTCTGACTAGAAATCAGATTCCCTCTGGGAGCGTAGGTTCGAGTCCTACCGACTGCGAGAACGATGGGGGATCTATTTTTGCCACTGGATATTCTCTTTTTTTTTTGCCAAGCGAAGAACAGCGAAATTACTATTTTATTTTTATTTTTTCGTTACGCTTTATTTAACACGAAGTACAATGATTTAATTAGCTGTCACAATCATAATTAATACGGCAAATCATGCGATAATGTAATCGAATCAAAATTTTAAATTGTTTCTTAGTCATTTTGCACAGTTATGTAGAACTTCAAGATGCATACTTATTGTTATCATGTATAGATCTTACTGTAATTTAATATATGTCATATATTTTGGAATCGAGGTTAAAAATTCCTCGATAGTATAGTGGTTAGTATCCCCGCCTGTCACGCGGGAGACCGGGGTTCGATTCCCCGTCGGGGAGATCTCTTTTTATCTTTTTTTTTTAATTTTTCTTCCATTCAGCATCAAAGCGATAGAGAAAGTCTTATGCAAAATATATTCAGTTTAAAATAAAAATACTTTGAAACACAAATAAACGTAGGGAAGAAAGTAAATGCATTGTGATTTTTACGCGCGCTTATTGTTGTGTGAAATCTTTAATCTAACACTTTATTTATAATTGCAATCTTCTTCTTTTTAACATATCTTTCATAGTCTTTTTATTTATGTATTTGTTAATCATAAATTATATGTGAATACGGTTCACAGAATAGGCAATTTGTGACTCGAACTACACTTCTAATTTACGATATAACCATAATACAAAGATAATCAAGGCAGTTCGTAAAATTTGAATGTCACAGTTAAGAAAAGTGAGTCTTATGGAATTAATACGACAAAGGAGAGTCCGTAGGCGCCGTGGCTTAGTTGGTTAAAGCGCCTGTCTAGTAAACAGGAGATCGGGGGTTCGAATCCCCCCGGGGCCTTGTGGAGTTAATTTTTTTCATCTCGAACTAACGGGAACGCATATACGTTTGCACAAGTTAGTATTCAAACGACGTGCCCCCGGAATGTTATATTTCAAGTTTATTAAGAGTTTATTGGATGAGGTATATATTATAAATTTTACGTGACCTGATTAGTATTATATATTTAATTTTAATTATACAAAATAGCTCTAATTCCATTCGTTAAATATCATATATTTAATTAATGGACGAAGTATTTATTTTTAGGAATTTTTAACATCGATTCCAAAATATATGACATATTAAATTACAGTAAGATCTATGTAATAACAATGAGTATACATCTTAAAGTTCTACGTAACTGTGCGAAACGTTTAAGAAACAATTTAAAATTTTGATTATATTATTATGATTTACCATATAAATGTTACAATTAAATCATTATACTCCGTGCTAAATCAAGCGTAACGAAAAAAATAAAAAATAAAACAGTAAGAAAATATCTATATGTATAGTTAATTTATCTATATTTTTTGTAATAAATAGATATATGTATATATGTGTGTTTCGTATTTTAGAAATTACACGAACAAAAATTTCGTTACAATAAGCGCTGTAATTCGGGATCAGAAGTCGAACTTGTATCCGTTCCCGGAGACCTTGACACGTGCGACCGACGGGGCGGATGAATAAGCGACACCCAGCAAATTCTGCGATTGTTGTTCCGTTTGTTGTTCCTGCTGCAACGAAGCCTGAGCCTCAGGCACCTGTGCACAGTTACTATTAACAAAAATCACATTTAATAGTCACGCGGTCACACGAGAATTATTTCGTACTATATGGACAATTTTTTTTCGGCACGTGAAATATGATGCATAGATAACATATACGAATGTATATGTTATCTATGCAAACATATCAAATAAGATGCATCGTTTGAATTTTTCACTTTCGTTTCCGTATAATGGAATTTACCTGTTCCGATGGAATCGTGTGGAACTGGCCTTGTTGAGCCAATTGTGCCTGACGAAGGGCGAGCAACTGCGCCAATTGCGGTTGATAAATCGCGGCGCCCGGCTGATACGCGTGCAGATACGCTTGCTGCGGCTGCTGCGCGTATTGTTGCGCGTACGTCAGCGCGACCGCGGGATCCTGAGCCTGATATGCCAAAGGTCCGGGTGCAAAATTCGGAAGGACCCCGCCGCTCACAGCTGGACCGAGCGTGTAATATCCTGCACAACGATTGAAAGACCTCAGTCGCCAATCTTCTCATCTCACTTATCATAAAATTAATTTCTTAAGATTAAGTAGGTCGCGATTCGAGCACTAATTCAATGCGCGAAAACTTTTCGTGACTTGTAAAACAATCGGTAACGAGAAGAGGTGTTTGAAGACTAATGTTTCTAATGTTTTCTAAGCACGAACCTAAACCAGGATGTCTCTGGACGAGGGCTTGCGCGATACTCGGCTGGACCTTTTGTATTAGCTGTGGATTACCGATGCTGGCGGCGAACGATTGATGAGAGCTCGGTCCACCGAATGCGAACGACGTTTGCGTTAGTCCCGGTCGGATGAAGCTGAAGGAAGTATGCTGCTCCGGACTGCCTAGCACATTCGTTGGTTTCACACCGGCTTGGATCGGTGGCTCGGCCGTGACGAGACAATACATTGCACCTAGGACAACCGCGTGCTTCTGCAAGTCGCAATTTCCGAGATCAGTCGAGGTAAATGCGACATTTGATTTAGCGTATAATGTAGTGAAATTCTGAGAAAGATGGTATCTCTACTTATGTAATAAATATCCTTTTAAAAAAAGGACACATTTCGTCGAAAACCGATAATAATTATTATAATAATTGAATTATTACTAATTTAATAATTGCAATAACAATTTAAAATAATTATTTATTATTATAAAAAATTATCATGCTCCATCGTTATAACAATATGTTATGTTATAATTATCCCTTTGCGAAAGATAATTACTGTACAGAATCAATATTTTAGTACATAGGATGTTTCTGAAAAGTTTGGAATTTAATCTATATAGAAGATTACTTGAAATTTGTGATAATTATGCTTTAATGAAAGATTAATTTTTGGAAATTTATTATTGAGATGTTAAGAGACTTGTATCGTAGAATGAAAGTTTTACCGAACATATTTTACTTTACTCATATGCTATGTGAATGTTTTTTATTTTTAAGAATTTATTTTCTCAGTAGAGCACACGTTCTACAAGATCTTTCAGAAACACCCCGAAACACTTGAAAAATGAGACACGAAGTGTCCTGTCCGCCTCACTCACCAACATCGTGAAAAATCGCGCGGTCTATCTCGTAACGTATAATAAAGAGACACGGTATTATCGCTGGCGAAAATCACGACGGTATTACGGCGCGATGAAACCCCGTGGGGAGCTATATACTACGGAAACGGCTGGTGCGAAACGTGAGTTGCATCCGATAGGAATCGTTCCGAGCAAGACACTTTCTCCGGGATATAAAATGTCGAACAATTCATGAATCATAATCAGACGACACTTAACAGTTTCCTCAAAATATGACGAAAGTTGGAAGGACAAGATTCACGTAACCGGGAGATGTCACCTACATATTTTTAATCGTAGAAGAAAATGAAAATTTTCAGATTTCGAGATCGCCGCGAACAAAACTATTTCTTCCAAGATCAAGATCGTTGATAACGGAGAAAGTCACTTTCGAAATGTTTAATACGACAATAGTGTGGCCGTACGGTAAGCATTAATTGCGATGTGGTGGACGATTATAGAATTTCAAGTGTCCAATCGATAGCAATTTTGTTTCTATTACAGCGAATATTTATGTGTGATATACGGCTCTTTTAACAGCATAAATATATTTTCGATTATAATCTTCGATCATATATTTGTTAAAAGTAGCAAACAGTTGTAAACAGTACTAATAATAGTAATAATTTAATCTTATTTTATTGCATATTAGGTACGTGAATAGCACGTTAAAATACATACGCTGTATCATGATCATGTTTTTAACACGGTCATCAGTTTTGATGCAAGTCTCAGAGTGTCTTTATTTACAATACAATTGTAGTATTATTTATTGCCATACGCATTACAAAATCTTACATTATCCGATTAGTCGTTATCTTAATTATTTGGCGATAGGCGTTAAAATAGGTAATCTGAAAATACGTATCTCAACGTTATGACTGTAATAATGAATGACTGATCTGTGAATTAATGAAAATTTGTGCGATATGACAACTGGATTTTCTTCCCCCAATAGATCACTTCAAACATTCGAGAAGTATGTCTGATAAAACAGACCCATGGCACTGGTCGCAAATAATGCGAAGCAACTCCACCATGTCGCTAGTCCTAAGACGCCTCTGTACACATCTGTGGTAAATATCTGTAACAAACGAAACTTTCCTCGTACTATTGTTCGAAACATTGCTCAAAGGCGTCGGTCTTTTGTGATTGTCAAATTTTACATAAAATATGTTGTTTTATGTATATCTCAAAGACAGACTTACTTGTTTTTTTAAACATCTCAAGATATTACCTGTTTTAATGAGCCTAATGCAAGTTGAACTTCTTCAGCAGTTTGTATAACAGTCTTGTCGCTATTATCAATATTAACTGTGGATGATAGTGACTTCGGTAGTTCATCCGCTGGGCACTCTTCCGGCAAAGTTCCTTTTAAGATGCCTTCCCACGTAAAACCACCTGATAATTCAATAAGAAATATACGTGTACATATATTATATCGCAAGCAAACTATACGTTTGAGAATATTTCTTCTTACCCAATGTTTTGTACAAAAATGTAAAAAATAAACACATAATTATGGGAACAACGTATTGTAGCGCCACTACACATAGGTAATAATATACAGCTGCAATCTGCAACATACAAGTGAAATTTATTTTATTAGATACTTGTAACAAAGAAATAAAAATTTTTTGTTCAGATATAATTAAAATATATAATTTCATACTGTCACGACACGAACCTTTTTCTGCAAATCAACATTAGTTATTCTGCCAGCTTCCTTCTTTTGAATTTCTAATCTCTGAATGGCGAGATTTAAGTAAGATTGCAGATATACTGGCATGAGTATAATTCTTAATAAACTGGCAACAACAATAATAATCAACCTTAAACTTTCGAATCCTGCTACTGTCATTCTGTAATAAAAATATTTCAATTTATTTCAGATTTATATATAGATATTAATTTATCTTCTAAATTATTCTAAAACATCAACTTACAGTGGAGCAGTCATGCCATTTAATATCCGGACAGTCAAAACATCCCTACATATGGGCGTAATCCATAGATACACCAACACAAGTGGCGAGGCATAGCTAGCATTCGCCATTATGAATAATAACTTGTGATCTTTATAATACCTGCAATTATTTCCATCTATATACTAATCAGCATTCAACATTTCAATTCAATTTTACTAAATTAATGAAGTTCATTTCTACCTCAACGTATCCCAATGCATTTTTGATACCCTCAATCCTGGGAAGGTAAACAAAGATCCCAATAAACCACACCATATAGCGAGAAAAAACTTCAGAACAATTTTTGAAGCTGGTCCCCTATAAACATATTTATCAATATCTATTAATTAAAAAAATGTCAAAAATAACTTACAATAAGAAATAATTGTTATTTAATTCTCAAATCTTTAATATTAAATAGATTACATTAAATTATTCACAAAAAATATATTTCTAGTTAATAAATTAATAAAAATCTGTAACTGAGAGAAATATTCTTTCACCAAAAATATTTTATATGCAATCGATAAAACATGCAACAGATTTATTTATTCAATTAAATTTACAGATGACAAAAACATAATCGACTTACGTCGACGAAAGCCCTTGGGTGTCTAGGAAACGAGAAGCGCTATGATTGAAACTTGTATACGCCTTTTCCAATCCAATTTCCAACGTATTTTCATCAACTATGAGTACCATCATAGCAATAAGAAGATATGCAAATCCAGTAACGATGCACGTAGATCTTTCACCGACACTTTCTTCGCCTTTGAAATATTGTACCCAAAGAGAAAGCAGTACTTTACTATAAATTATATAAGGAAAGTAAAACCATTGTAACATGATTATTAATCTCATCTCTTGAAAGACAAGAAATTCTACAGATTTTCTAACCTAAAATTTTAATCCAGAAAAAGGATACAATGCAAAGCCCAAAACCACCACGCACCATAGTATGCTGAGATTAATCTCATCTTTGATGGGATACCAATAATTGTACGCCTGTTAAGTGATAAAGGAGAAACTTTAGATAGCATTACAAAACAAGATCAGCTATGCAGAATATTAGATATAATACTAATTAAAATATTTAATTAATGGGTAAGTATTTTCATTCAAAAGTTCAAAATATTCGTATTAATTGAAGAGCAGCAATTAAAGAGCACTAACCTCTGTCAGCACATAAACAATGATAGCATAAATAGAGAAGTCGAACAGCCACTGATATTCCGTGTAATATTTTAAGTGCACTACATCGAAAGTAGTTATTTTTGCACTTTCAAGCTTGATATCCAGATTCCTAGGGACGTGAAACACATCTCCCACTTTGCCATTCTCGCTGTGCTTTCCCCTCTTTGGTTTCTCCTTCGGCACACCGGCTAACGCTCTGAGCTGCTGATCTGTTGGATACAGATATCGTGTCAATCTGTGCAGACAGAAAAACAGGGATGTTACACCAATCTGATCATTCCATTGCTATCCATCGTTTTTAATGATTAAACGTGCGGATACGTACCCCGTGGAACACAAGATCCATCTGGCAAAGGAGAAATGCGGACTCAGCTTTTGTATGATACTGACCATTACGAGGGTAATGACCAATTGCGCTCCTAAGAGGGCCTGGAAGAAATGTCATTAAACACACGATTAAACACAAGACACAAATAGAGAGGGGGAAGAGATGAGGGCCAAAAAATACAGTTAAGAAAATAATAATTTCAAAACAATTGTCATAACTGGAACATGTGGATTTCCACGAAAGAAGCATTGTCTTTTCGTTGAACTTACCATGCTTAAATGCTAGCGTATCGGCGAAAGGAAGGTTCTCACAAACGGGATCGCTCCATCCGAGGCGACGAGGTGCCCGGGGTCCGAATCAATCCCGAAAGATGCAACGGCGAGATAGATACGTCTGATTTGCCGCGATTGATGTTTGCTCTACCATCTTAAAGGGCGTACGCCGGTTCTCGCGAGCTAGTTTTATAAATAGTTATAACCTGGCGACCGCATAATACATACACCGAGCGCACGGAGCCGCCTCGCATGGGGCAGCTACGAGGTTATTTCCAGTTATCGTCATCGCGCTGCGGCGAAGAAGCGGCTCCGCGACAACCGCGTGTCGACATCTAGCCAGCAGCATCGCTATTGTGTAAAATGCGGTGTGTAATCATGCGCCGACCACGTGCTCATATGATATTCAAATTTCAAAAATTAGATGATAGATCTAATTATAATATATATAATATATATATTATTATTTTTTTAATATGATAATAATTTAATAAAAAATTAACTATTGTGTAATTTATTTACTTGATGAGAGTAATTCAAACGCCATATCTATTCTAAAAACATTATTTTGAATGATTAATTATATATATCCTTTTTCCTGGCGATGATTATGACTTTTCAAAATCTCATTCTGGCAAAGAAAGAATCTTCAAGAAATGTATTTTAATAAAAATTTAATTTCTTTTTGTGGGAATCCGCTATGAATTAAACATATTATTTTAAATAATATATATATATAAATAATTGTTAATTATTAATATTAGATATATTATATTTTGTTTTTCAAAGCTTTATTATATACAAATGAGCATATTGTGTGCCTCTCGCTGGTGAGTTAAATTCGCACTTATATAATATATGATATATAAAAACATGACGAAATTTTATACACATATCACTCGCATATTTTATTACATATAATAAATTATTTATTATTAATATTAAATATATTATATGCTCATTTGTATATAATAGAGCTCTGAAACAAATATAATCCTGCATCCCATGATTACGTAGGCCATAATAAATTGCGAGGCTCGTGTAAACGTTTTGCAATGTGGAATATGCACATATACCCTGCGGCTGGTCTTTCTTCTGTAATTATAATTATTGCCTGCAGGTATAGATAATATAGTAGCAAACGATGTATTACGTACTAAGTTGCACTTGGTCGTCCGGACTGTAGATCGGACTGTAAATCAAGAAATAGAAAACACGGAGAAATGTTCATCAGAATATCTCTCATTTATAACTTATACTTGTGGACGTAGAAATATTACGCGCAATAATTAACAATAAATGAACACGGACGTTAAAAGAATCACATCACATATAATTTAGGTGATTAGCGAAGAAAAAAAATGCGTGGATATCATGATTGAAATTTCTCAGAAATTGTTTTTCTCGCAATTGGCAAACTTATTTGCATTCTGGAAACTCCGAATCCTGGATTACGTAACGATATAGTAATCATCGAGCATGTGACCCAATGTCTTTGAGCAAGGTTTCAAATAGTCCATCTTTAATATATATATACGTTGTTCATTGTCGAGTATGATATACGTCTACATTAAGAGTGACTCACACACACCTACACACACGCATATAAACGTACACACATAGAAGACGGTGGGAAAATTATTTATATGTACATATATTGTCTTAATCGATCGAACAACCAGAGGTTACATATATATATTCTACAAAGTCATTAACTATTATTAATAACCGTGACATGATTCAGAAGAACGAGAAAACGAGAAAAAAAAGAAACGAAAAGAAAGTGTCGTGTAACGTAACGTAACGTTCCATTTTATAAAACAATAGTTTCTACAATAAATATTACAATTAAGAAAAATTATCGCATCCCATATAATTTCTGACAATTTTTAAAGTTATTGCAAGTAAAATAGAAAGAGCACATTGCTCAACACATTCCCGCGATAGTCCAAATAACTTCTTATTACAGGAATGCAAACATTATTTAAATAAAAAGTATATGCGGGTAAATGCGGGAAGGACGTACAGAAAGGTATACGTGTTTCTCACCCGTATAAAAAACAAATGCAAACATTGAATAACGATATTGCATAAAATATCTTTATCAATTTGTCAAAAAACAGCGAAGTTCCTAACAATCTCTAATATTGAAATAAAAAAAGAAAAACCAGGCGAAACTAACGTTGATTGCTTAAATAATATTTAAGAAAGCTTTATCTTACAGGAAGGTTTAATCTTATTACAAATTTCCTTTTCCAGATGATACATATATACTTTATTATCTCTCATTCGCTTCTTATCTTTCAACAAACTGTCTATCTATTTTATTAATACGCGCATCACTGATATATAATCTTCATATCCAGGAAACATCTCTTGTATACGGACTATTAAAAATGCAATTTTCCAATCGGTCGCTCTAAAAAAAATCGCAGTTTCATTTCAGGCGACTGTTCCTGATCGGAACATCCCGCACGCGGAAACGCGTCCTTTTACGCCGTCCGAACGCGCGGAGAGAACGCGGCGGTATAAAACGATGCGTTCATCAGTTGGCGCAATCATACGCCGAGCAGTGTGCGGCAAGCAGTGGACCGCGGTTCGTAACGACAGGTTCGTAACATTGTTCGCGTTTTTTATTGTTTTCGCAAAAGGAGATAGACTCGTAGGCGGAGTGTGTCTTTTTACGCGCGATGACGCACGCGGCGGCGCGATCGAGAATTCACAGTCGGCTTTCGCGAAAATTCCGCGAGGGAGTCCCCGCGGGAGAAATATTTTGTTTGTAACATCGGGACCTAAATTAACTAGTCAATTCTAAGTAGAATCGTCAGGCTCGTAATTTGTTCTCGTAAGAGCTTATAATTGGAATTGTAATTCTATGCGTAAGACGTGTACGATTATTCGTAAATATCTATAAGATTTCTCATAAATCTTATGGCTAGCAAGAAGTTATCTGTATAAAGATATTGCATAAAGTTATAGGCATTCAATCATAAAGTTTTTACAAGTCTTATGAGAACAAATTACGATCCTTACGATTCTGCTTAGAATTGACCTATAATTCTTATAATAATATACGTTATTCATTCAACAGCCTTTAATTGCGCGTTTAATTTACCGTATGAACGAGTCGCTAATTCAACCAAAGTTTTTAAGCAAAGATCATTTCGTTTTATTATTTACACATATATATAACAATTATCTGTCTTATTTTATAATAAATTAATCTTTTATTTTTACTTTATATTTTATAATAAATAATTATCATGAACATATGCTTCATTGCTTTAACTTGTTGAATCATTTCGTCATGCAATTTTTCATTTTACAGAGATTATCAAATCTAAACAGCAATTATGTCGCCGATGTCGAGTGTACTCATATTCGTCATTTCAATTGTGGCTCTTCCGAGTATCGGAAGTTCCGTCACTCCGTTCTCTCAAAGCTGTACGGTCAATTCGGAGTGCCAATCAAGTTCCTGCTGCTTGCTAGGTTTGTCTCTTCTTTTCTTTTCTCGCGTTAAAATTAATAATAATTAATTAAAATTAATAATTTAAATGCCCTGAGAAAATGTCTTTTAGCAACACAAGAAACACATTTTTCTAGAGTAATATACAGGGTGCCAAAACTCTTAATTATTATTTCAAGACGTGAAAGAGAATGAAATTTTAATCGAGAGAAGTAAGCGCGAAGAGTTGTACAGCATGCTATGCTCCTTCGTATTTCGGCTAAGCGCAATCTAATTGATTAACTTTATTTGTTAATAACTCTGTAAATAAAATGATTTTAGCCAAAATTGATACAGGAATTTTTAGTTCAAAATTTCATTTTCTTTCACGCCATGAAATATTAATTAAGAGTTTTGGGACATCCTGCATGTAAATTCAATTTACGCACGAGATAATTCCATTGAAAAATATTGAAATAGCGAATCGAAAAATCTTTAAGATATATATAATTAGACACATATTTCCGGTTAAAGATTTAGCTGCTACGAGCTCTTAACAAGTGCATTGAATGTTGCCGATTCCTTTTAGGGCCTTCAAGGTACGCAATACCGACTTGCATGCCGTTCCAACAGAAAGGTGAACAATGCCGGGTAAACGCTGACACTGTCACGACCAACTTGACTTACCCGGACAATTCGCAAATGGAAGTTAAAAATATCCACTTCATCCTGTGTCCTTGCGCCAATGGATTATCCTGCAATCCGAAACGCGGAATCTGCAATTAGAATTCTCTCTGTCAGTCAAAGCGATCGGAAACATCATATGAATATGTGGGACCAAATATTTGGGAGGTTTATTGGAAAAATCAAGTAACATCGAGGAAGTATTTTCAATTGCATGTTGACCGTAATAGTTGGAATACATTCATGAAAAATTAAAAGCGTTGTTAATTATTTTATTATTCTACCTGTTTATATAGTATTGTAAATTATTTTATTCTGTTATTATGTTTTATTGCTTTTTTTTACTATTATTTACTTACATCACGATACGCTAATTAGTAATTAGTGTATCGTAAATAATTTAAACTGAGATATGAATTGAGAACAAATTCCATGCTTTTTATTAGCTCATCATATGTAGGCACATGTTTTGATCTGAACTGAGAGAATCACGGTATTTAAATAATTAAAGGTAAAGTGCGAGAAACAAATAATGATTGTTATACGACGCATCTCTATGAGTTACTCTAATTAAATGTTTTTTTTTAATGTTTAACGTGTTTAACCAGGAGTTAAACTGACAAATAAATTGTACATTAATATGCATATACGCTTAATAAAATACCATCCGTGTCACTTCGACCTTTCCTGAGTACTTTTTCTCAAACGTTCTCTTCAGTATTAGGCCTCCCACTAAACGGAAATGGATTAAAATTTTAATTATCATTATGGATTAAAATGAATTGAAATGGATTGGCCTTCGTGGAAATGAATGCATTCTATCATAAAGGTTAATCTATTTCAATCCATGGTTTAGAAAATTTCAATCCATTTCAATTAAAAAAAAATTTAATCCATTTCAGAAAATTTCAATCCATTTCAATTAATAAAAAAAATTTACTGGGCTTGTATAATATATAATTAGGCCTTATATTATATATATCATATATAAAACAAAATTTGTGATGCCAAGAGGATATATAATGGTTTAAGACAGAGTCAGACTAACATAGCCGCGGTGTCCTCAAGCTTATTGTATTAAAAAGTTAAGGCAAGATGCAAAGTTTGTGAGAAAACTTATAATGTATATGTAATATATCTTTTCAAATATCGACGCTTGCATTTAATCTGTGTTACCCGTTGAAAAAATCTCACTCTCATGCCGTTTTATAAATTCACACATAGTTATTACAATACAGTATAGATGGCGAGAGCAGCTCATCAGCTGATGCATTTCATAAATATCTCAATAATACTCGGTAGCGTCAGTGACAACCGAATATCGGATGCCCGCAAGGAGTACAATTTCAAATGCTTTTTTTAATTGTACATAAGTCAAAATACGCATAATCAAAAATAAGAGAGAAATTACGGAAAGATTTACTCTGTCGGGAAAAATGTTTACCACTAAGTCCTTCGACGTTGTGAGTTTTAATTCGGAATTGTCTTCTACGAGGTGAGGTTTTTATTCGAATTATCGTTGCGAAAAATGTATATATGAATAGTCCTTTGTCTTAATTAATAATTGAAACCGTACCATTCTTCCCTAGATTGGAAACATCCGCGAACGTTCAAACAACGGAGATAGTCTACACAGCTGACGACACGCAGACCGCAGAGACGAGAAGCATTGGGGTGTGTCATTAAGATTTTATTTGAATCTCAGAATTTTTAGATGTTATTTACGCTCAACAAAGCCAAAGCGACGTTCTTGAGAAACGTGTAAATTGCAAAATGTCAGTAACCGCTATAACAGCTTCGTATCCCATGTTTCAGTTCTTCTGAGCGTCCAAAATGAATTGTACTGTCCGCCCTAGATGACTTAACTTCTTTTTCATTATTTTACTTCAACACATTAATTTTTCTCAGATCCAGACAGCGAACGGACAGAAACCAGATGTACAAGTGGATTACGACAAACTGGCAGAGTTTCTGAAAAGAGTCACGCCAGGGATCCTGGAAGCCCTCGATGAAACTTACGCCACTAACGCCTTCGACGACTATAACCCAAATGTGACCGAGGCCTCGTCCGCCACTGTAGAATTATTGAAGAAAATATGCACGTCGAAAGAGACAGACGCTCAGGTACATCTTTTTCAATAATATTAAATAACTATGGTATACGAGATTAAATGGCTGTCACAAGTCGAATGTTTTTTTGTAGATTAAAATAAGTGACTTGTCATGGAGCACCGTCGGCGGAACGTTAGCAGTAGGCCTCAGTCACACTTACCACGAAGCGTGGTGCGATCATCTTTCTACAGTCCAGTTGTACAATCTCACAACGGAGGATAATGTCACGGACGCGCCTACCAGAACGTTAGAGACGAATGGCTGTGTCACAACGCTGTGTTATCACCCGATGGAACCCTCTATCCTCGCGGCCGGACTGTCTAATTGTGAGCTTCAATTCCAATTAATAGTATTAATATTAACGAAAATCCATATATTTCGCTGTGCTTTTACTAATATTCGTGTGAATCTCTCGAAGGGGACGTGTTGGTCTGGAATCTCAGGAACGACGATTCCGTCGTGCCTATGCACGTATGCACGCACGGCGACTGCGTGACCCAAGTGTGCTGGAGGCCGAGATCCGTGAACGACGTGACCCTGTTGCTGAGCTCCAGCAGAGACGGTTACATACTGATTCACAAATTGACGACTAACTTTACAACCGTTCAGCTGCACAAACGGTGCGTTCAACTGCTAGACTGTTCGACCGATTATCTCGGCGTAAACGTACGATCTTCGTTTACGCGATCTCTGTCGTTATAGATTCAAGATAGTGAAGGAACGTAATCCGGTGGAGAGTGCTAGGCCACGCAGCGCCGGAGGTAGCGAGCGCGCGGCGGAGGCAGGACTGTGCATCACGAGCTTCGACTTTTCACCGAGGCACCCCAGTATATTTGTCGTTGGAACGCTATGCGGCGGAATCTATAAATGCAGCTTGGATAGCGTGACTCCGATCGAAGGTTTGCGCCCACTATACAACAGGCTAATATAAAATTTTTCCGTAAAACAAGAGACTTATCGATTTCAGGAGACACCACGCTTGTAGATCCCGTTATCGATGAATATGAAAGACACGGAGGTAGCATTACCTGCATCAAGTGCTCGCCGTTACGCAATCTGTTTGTCAGCAGCGCCACGGATAAGGAAATCCGTATATACAATCTTGACGAGGTAATAACCTTCGTATGTCACATTTCAGCCTTTCTAACAATTACGACGTTGATCCTACGGAAATAAAGATATCTTTATTTACTTTAGTCAAGTTTTTTTTTTCTAGATGATTAGAACATTGAGATTAAAAAAAAAGAATGACAGTAAATTGCATTACGTATTAAAAGAAATTTTAATATATGAATAGCATCTATGTAAACATAAAATTAAAGAAATGAGAGACTAAATCCTGCAGAATTTTATTAAAAATATATTTTACAATATTATATATTTGCTGTATATGATTATTATCTTTGGATATACAAATTTTTTAAGCGAATGAATATACATGAATCTGCTTTTTCCATGCTCGAATATATGATATCAGTATACGTGTCATTCTTAGTAAAACGTGATTGCTCTTCTACAGATAATTAGTCACTTATTCAAACAGAAAACGTTTTCTAAAATATCTCAACATGAAAGGAAAAAAAAGTATAGTAAAATCTTTATCAAAAATTTATTTATTACACATTAATCAACAATTGTAATCTTTACGTAACTCCGACATTACGCAATTGTGTTGCATGGACGTAGCATGTCAGTCAGCAAACCATTTCCGTGGACAATACAGTTGTGGGATTAACATGGATGATTGGCAATCAAGACGTATTCGCAACTTACGGGGCGGGCGCGTGTGTGAAGTTCTACAACGTCACGGACGGTAAACCTGTAACGTGTGCGAAAGTTGAGGTGACTGGCAAAGAAAGTATTAGTAGCTTACGCATAAATTCCAAGAGGTATGTGTAAGATAATTAAATCCTGATTATTCATCACTTAAAAATTCCTTTCTCTTTCTCGCTAATTTTAAGCGCGATAATCACAAGAATTCGTTTTCTTAATCGTTCTTTTTTATTAAAAAAAATTTATTCGTAGTAAAAATATCTACACGTCTTAAGCAACTGTAATTTGCAATAGCAGAATAAAAAAAATGTTTTATTCGTAGTAAAAATATCTATGTCTTAGCGTAATTTGCGATTAAATTTGTAAATTGCTATGCGATAGCAGAATTACATCACTGTCGAAGGTCGATTAGTCTTTTAAACGATTGCGTTGGAATCATCTTTCAGATAAGACAATCGCTAAAAAAATGTATTCATAGTCATTAGTGATTCATAGTATTTACGTAAGAAATTAAGTAGAAATTGCTGAAAAAAATTATACATTCAAGAGATTATAAATATTTGTTTTACTTTTAGAGATATGCTGGCTATTGGAGATGTTCGTGCGAATGTCGAAATATGGAAATTTCCACGTCACTTGTTTTGAACTGTAGTCCTGATTGACGCAATTGCTCGTGCCATTTGCTGAATGGATTGACACATCGCTACGTACGTTTTATATATCGCACATATATACATGTAACAATTTCTACTGAAATAAATTATTTGGAACATTGACCTTCTTCACGTCACAACGTATAAAATTTTCCTCTATAGATAAGAAATGATAATACAATTCTTAGTAATATGTTTACCTAAGAGTTATTTTAGGATCGAAAATATCAACAAATTCAGAGTACTTTTGAAATAAAAGTTAAGCGTATTTTACGAATTACGTGTAAATAAAATAAAAATTTAAATATATATTGGGTGCACTTTTAGCAAAAAGTGATTTCATATCTCTTAACATATGTTTTTTTCTAAGTTAAAACAAGTTTTATTAGTAAATATCAAATTCAACAAAAAAATGACAGAAATTTGCATTTTAAAACTTCATTATGATTTATAAATCATGAAAACAATTTTACATTACCTCTGTATCTCTGCAATCACAGCCGCATTCTGAAAAGGGGATACAATTTAACAGGGAAAATACTTTATTATATTTTAAGTACGTTGAAAATTTGTCCTGAAAAGGACAGTTTGCACGCCTTGGTGCTCGTTGTAGTAGATGTTCCTTGCCCTGAAAAGGGCAGTTTTATTTCTTTGTCCTGATGAGGACAGTTTGCATCGTATGCTTTGCGCATACGTTTATTGCTTCAACTGAGAAGACGCACCGACATCGTGATCTATTTGCGGGTCCCGAAAGGGACCCTGAATGAGATAATGGGAAAGGATTATACGGGAGAATCTGATCTGAATAGGATTGTAACGGGACATAAAGATAAGGAAAACAAAGGTGAAGGATTCTTTCGTGAAATATCTTGCAAATCTTGAAGACGGCCAGAGACCGCGTGTTAGGATTCGTAAATCGATTTAAAGCAATTTTTTTCTTTTTCTTTTGGAAGGAAGGGAAACGAAATAAGGGAAATAATGGGACGTTGAAAATTTCTTCTACTCCATCCTGTTGATTCCTTCTTCCTCGCCTCTTATGCAAACGGTAAGATGTTGGATTCCGTCCACCTCTCGAACACGTGCAGACTCCAAGAATTCTTCGGTGTCTTCTTCTTAAAGCGGCAGCACCTATTTACGCGGAACTCGTCAGGCGAGTCCGCAACTTATCTTCTCCTATTTCTATCGTATCTCCGTCCATCGGAGATATCCTCCTTTGATCACGCCCAGCATTTTGTCTCTTCTTCTCGCTCCTACCTCTTTCACTCTTTCTCTATTCCTTTCTTCGTTCAACAATGATATGAATATGTGCGCCTCTCGTAACAAGCGGTTCACATAGACATCGAAGCAAAATACATGAACTCCGCCCCGCGGTAAGTGGCTGTATAATTGCGCTGAGCTGAAATATACTCTGGAAGTCACGGGGACGGAAAGTTCCGTTTAAAGCTCCCCGGCTCTCTTCTCCTCTCTTGCGTAAAGACTCCGGCTTGGAGATTCCCCCGCGGAAACGTGATCGAGGAACCGAAAACTCCGCCCGAAACTCCCTCTCTGCTCTCCTGGTTTACCATATCCCCGAAATCGATCGGGCAACATTATTGCACGCCAAATCTTTCGACTCCCTCGGTCTCTCCACTCTTCCACTTCTTCTCTCCTTAGTAATGTTTTAAGTCTCTCTCTTTTCGCTCTCGTATGTCTCTTGCCCTCAACATTCTCTCCTCACCTCTTTCATACGTTCACGCATACTCTCTTTCTCTCTCACTGGTTTCATCTGCACACTTATAATTTTTTTTTTTGGCGCCTTTTCAAAAAGACATTTTCTGGTCCGTTTCTTTTTCTTCTTGGAAATCCTGAGACCCCGCTTCAGTCATTCAGACTCAAGATACCGCTCTGCTAACGAGCGGAGAGCTTTTTTCATATATACTTGCTGCTCCGCTCTTCGCTCCGTATCTTGATGCTCACTCGCACCCGAGAAACTATGCGTTTCCATAATCTTCTTCTACTCTCGCTCCCTCTTTTCCGTACCGCTGCATCTCTTCTTCTTCTTCTTTGTTGAAACCCTTTTAGTTTTGCCTTACAACTCATTCTTCGAGAAACTCATCGGCATTATAAATGTGCAAAGCAAAGTGCGATACAAACAGTTACGCCCTAATACCCTTCAGGTATGACATTTTTCTCTCACTTTCTCTTCTTCTCGACAATAATGCCGAGCGTATTTAAGCAAACAGCTTCCGGGAAGTCTCCAACTTCATTTTATTTCGTCACATTGTCTTCCCCGAGCGTCATAGTCTTCGTCCTTGAATCTTCGATCATCCGCGTCTTGATCTCTCGACCTTCTCTCGATCGAGCTTCTATTTTCTGCGGACGTAAAGACGAAGAAAAAGTGCTGCGACGATCCTTTGCGCCGAGTTAGCCGTCCGTCTACCGAGCTTCACTTTTCTTTCTTCTCTCTTCTCTCTCTCTTGATCACTCCTCTCCTTCGGAATCCTCTCGTCGAACGCGCAAACACGAGACGATTGTTTCGCGGCGAAAACAACGGGATGCGCGTCGAAAGGTGGTCGACTCGCTGGTCATCCGTGTCCCTCCTTCCTCGTCTCTCGCGCGATCACAACGATGTCTCGCGTCATCGCCGCGACGTCAGCGTACACGTATCATCCTACCCTCCTCCTTCTCCTCCTCGAATTGTCCTATCTCAGTGACAGATAAAAAGCCACTCGGCTTCCTTTCTCCACCGAGTTGCTCATCCTGCAGATAATTGCCTGAAATATTTCTCTCAAGGATAATTTTTTCGTTCTTCGTAGAAGATAATGGTTCTTGCAGCTCTCGATAGTCCCTCTCCTTCGAAGTGATCTTGCAAAAATTGTCGGTGACGCGAATCTGACGTCGGATCGTCAACGGATGAACGGACGATCGATAGATCTCGTTTCTGCGCGTAACGACGAGTCTTCCTTTTACGTCTTCCACCTTCCGTTTCTCTCTTCAGTCTTCTTTCTTCTTCGCTCTCTTCCACGCTCGCGATATTAATCTCGCGTTTGCGAAATCGGCCGTTTGTTGACGCTTGGATCTGACGAATCGCTCGAACGGGTCGCCAATGTTGAACCGCAGAACTCTCTATCTCTCTTTCGGAAGTCTTCCCCTCTTCTCGCGTAGCAAAATAATTCTCTCCCTCTTCTCTGCCTGTTTTCGAGGGCATTCGCCCTCGACCCCCCCCCTACGCGTTTTTTTATTTGCTTATTTACAATTATTTAAATGTATCTCATCGTCTATATTACTATCTCCATCTCATCGTTGACCGACGCGCTCCCTTCTTGTAAACAATTAAATTCTTAATCGTGACATATATATATAATATATAATGCCTATTAACGCTCCAGTCAGAACCTTAAGTATTAGCTTTTTGTTTTTCTTTTACGATACTACATAATAGATTACGGTCGTTATCATCTATGTCTTATGTACTCTAGAAACCTCGACGGTTAATTGCATCTCGTCGTGCCCAGCGACAGTAACTGTCACGAGGGACACGGAGGGAGGAAAAATCGTCGTCATTGTCATTCTCAACGTTGTTATCATCATCACAGAGATCGCGACTCGATATTCTTACAACTATTATTAACTTCCTCTATTAGATTCGCAGTTCTTTTATCTATCTTTCTCTCTCTTTCACTCACTCACTCACTTCCCTTTCTCTCTCTTCTTTCATACATATTCGCGATGAAAAAAGAAAAGGAAATCTCGCCTCGCGTAAGTTCCTCCGGCGAGACTCTTGCCAATTCGTGCGATCGCACTTATCAACAATCTTAATTGTACAACGCTGTTTTCCGAGATCGCACGTCTGGATTGTCGTTGCATCTCGACCGTTTACATTTTCGCGAATACAAAATAAACGCAGTCGCACGCACACACGCACGCACGCACGCGAGCCGTTTGCCTCGAGAGCGCGATCGAGTCTCTTTGAAATAAAACATATGTCACAATTTGTGTTCTCGCGTCTCATTTATTTATATTCACACAGTTTATCGAGGTTGCACTCGCGCTTTCAAGAGAAACGACTCGCGTTGATACCGCACTCATTATCTTTTCCTCTTTCTTTCTTTCTCTCTTTCTCATTTTTGCGATAACGTATCTACACATCATTGTTCCATTAAAGCAGACCAGAGTTTCGAGAAACAATGCTCAGTACCAAGTGTAAATTTACGGACGAACGTATAAGGAAAATCGGACGCGAAGAAATGGGGGGTACTCGAACGGGGGGCGGGGAAGGACACGTGCGCAGAAAAAGATAATCTCTTTGTCTCTCGTCGCAAAATTCTACGAAACATCGCAATGGCATTGCCGATTTAATTTTGAGGAACCGAAAATATATTTCAAATATTTTCTAAATATATTTTAGAAATATATTTATCATACTTTTTTTTATTGTGTACGATAAATACGAACGTAAAATCGACATTGCTTTTTATGGACATTTTAAATATAAATTTCCATAGATAAATATAAATCTCTATAAATAAATATACATTTTTCATGAAGTGTATCCTCCGTAATACTGATAATTTTTTATCGCATGTTTGACAGCAATAGCCTTTTAGAACAATCTCAATAAATGATGTCAACCTTCAGCAAGTGATAAAAAAAAGCCGATTTACCGACGCATTATTTTACACACTCGATGTAAAATAATGACAAAGGAAAAATCTTTGGCCGATTGTAATATGATCGTCTTCTTAAAAAGTAAAATACTTGCCGTAGATTGTAACCATTGTGAGTTCGAATCTTTAACTGTTTTAAAGCTACGACTCTCTTTAAAGCTGTGACTTGAAAGTTACATACATATTTTTTAAGTCTCGACAATTCAATGATTTTCCGTTTATCGATTGTTATACAATTTTTTTTACAAGCGGAGAAACATCCGCGGGTTAACGGACGATTCTTCGTTTTAGACAATTCGAGACAGCGCCTTCCTTCTCCTTACTGACGATACGCGATTAATCGCGGCACCGAAATTTCTCTCTATCAACGATCGGATATCCCAACACGCAGATAGATCTCCCCCCTGCGTCGAGAAATTACAAGAGGAAAAGGAGAATCTCCTACGCACTTATTTACCAAATAAGGGAAAGTTGCTTTCACATACGCGCCGTTTTGCCCGCGCTACTTGTATCGACGATCGGACGAATGTCCTACATTCACGAATTTCGTGGACGCGCGTGCGAAATCAATTCTGAACCAAGGCAACACGTTTTTCCGCGGGATCCGCCGAACGGATCCACGTGCTATTTTTTTTCTCCCAAGCGACCATCATTAACTGTTTCCGTAAACCTGGAACTTTGTCTGTCAAGAGACAAACAAAGGCCAATGCGAGCCGAACGCGATTGGTGAAGCGTTGAAGTATTATATTTGACAATATACGTGTTGTCCTTCGCTTCTGAATAATATTATCAATGATCGATTTATAAAACGACGGATTGCAACAGGAAAAACGTGTCCTTGGAAAAGGAAGCTCTTTTGCTCGTACACACGCATTCTCTTCTTCTGTATGTATGTATATATGTTTATATATATTTCTTGTATTCCTTTTCATTCTCATTCTCTCTGTCTCTCTCTTTCACTCGTTCACTCCAGCTTCTTTTGGCACACATGCATTCTCGCACTCATCACACACTCACGCATATACACATTCATTGTCCAAATATACTAAACTATATATATGTGTATATATATAATATATATATCAAGGTACATGGTCTCGATTCGCTCAAATAGTCAATGCGTTTCTCTCGCCGCGCTGGCGGACAATTCTCCTCGCTTCCGGCGGCGCGTTCGCCACGGTGCGAGCTACGGGGAGCATCGTCTCTTCCACGTTCTTCGAGGAGACGCGATCTTCCCCTCTCTCGCGAGGCGTGTAACCGCGTAAAATTCATCGATTCCCCCGACGTGTCTTTCGCACCGTCGCGTCGCGCGGCCGCGTTTTTTTTTTACCGCGTTCACACACGGCGGCGGGAGGAAAGATGAAAAAGAATATATGTATATATGTATGTATATATTGTCACGTCGACGGGGGTCAGCCCACCCGTCGATCTCCCGCGTCCCTGGAGGTCGCGAGATACGCTCTGGCAAGCGGCGAAGATCTCCTCCCTCCCGCCACGAATGTGTGTCGACAATCGTTTATAAACGAATTATCTGTAGCCCCTCGAGATGTCTTTTCAATTAATCGAACGATTTCTAATTCACCGGCTTTGACGCATGGGCGCGCGTAAGCGCGGGGCGGAGACGACCGCGGCGCGAGTCCGGGAACCCGCCGCGAGGGACGCGGGCGAGAGATCGTGTGCGACGCGAAGAATTTCGCGGCGTCCCGATGACGACGTGCGATCGGTCCGAAAACCCGCCTGGCGGGTTTCAAGAACGAACGTGTCGGAGACGCCAGCCAGAGTTCGCAATTCAACGTCTCGTGTGACGTTCCGCGCGCGACATTTTTAGCTCGATCTCTCTCCCGCGTGCGCCCGCGACGGCGCGCTCCTCCCCGCGGCGTGATCCCGGATGCTGCGGAGATGCGCCGCGCCGCCGCTTACGCGACCCTGAATCGCGTCCGCGAAAGGCTCGCGGAAAACGATTGAGATCAAAGTTTTTGTGCCTCGAATTATGTTTTTCTTTTTTTTTTCAATTGTTCTCCGTAACAACGAAGCTTAAAAACTAATTAAAAACAAAGGAAAGGAGATTTTTAACGTCCGGCAAGACGGTGAGCGATGCGAAAAGAGGCACGGGCGTAATTTAGCAATCGAAACGCGAGAATGGCAAGAATTTTGCGGAGAGAAGAAAAAGAAGATCGAAGGAATGTAACACAATATGCTGTCGCGTATCATCGTCGAGGAATGAATCGATCGAGTACCGATCGCGGAGAAAAAAGAAAAACGGGAATTTCGCGCCGTTTTTCGCCTGTTTTTGAAAGCTGCGGGATCGTACACGTAAAACGTTGGACCATGAGTGCTTCG